GGGTCACGATTGAAAGATTGAGATGTCGGATACAAGCGGCCAAAATGAGCTTCCTTTGCAGGGTGACCGGGCTCAGCCTTAAAGATATGATGAACTCCTTCATCCTGGACCTGTTGCCTCTGCTACCCAACCACAAATAAACTGTAGAAGACCGAGATGGACTTGGCTGATTATACAGATAAGATATTGTTTAGCAACTTTTAGGAGAGCCAGTAGCTCTTGCATCAATTCAAACTTCTCACATTTACTACTGAAGAGGTGATTAATGCAACAGTCAGCACAACAAACCAAATGTAAAGCAGAGACGAGCATCTTAACGAGCGTTGATCTCAGCTGACTCGTCATGATTTAAGACCGTTGCCAGGTTCACGTTTTTGCTGAAAAATGACCGTGTCCTCACAAAAAAGACGGAGACCTCACTATACTGAGCAACTACCGGACAATCTCTAAACTCTGTATTCTAGCTAAGGTTTTAGAAAAATTGATAAATACTCAAATCAAGACATATTTAGATACTTTTAACATCTTATCTTCCCATCAATCTGGTTTTAGGAAACAACACAGCACAACGACTGCTTCACTGAAGGTTTTTAATGACATTGTTGAAGCACTGGACACTAAGGATTATTGTGCTGCACTTTTTTTACACCAGTCTAAAGCTTTTGATACTGTGGACCGTGATATCATATGCCATGAGCTCTCGGACATTTGTTTCTCAGACCATACTGTCAGTTGGTTTTCTAATTACCTCTCAAATTGAAGGTAATACGTTTATAATGGAACTTCTTCCAGCCATTTAACTGTCAACAATGGTGTACCACAAGGCTCAGTCTTAGGACCCACCCTCTTCACAATCTAAGTACCAGTAATGTAGGTCAGATAATTGCCAACGTATCCTTACATTACTATGCCGACGACACAGTTGTTTGTTGTCGAGCTAAATCAGTTGCTAAGGTTTTCCAGCTTTTACAGTCTGCATTCGACATCATCCAGTTAGATTTGTTCCGTCTCAAACTGGTACTAAATGCTAACACAACCAAAGGGATGTTGCTTTCAAACAGGAAGTCTGTACCAGCAGTCCTTCCTTCTATCTTATCTATGAATACCATACCACTTTATTTATAGAGCACTTAAAACAGCAAGGCCAGCCAAAGTGCTGTACAGTAGATACAAACAAACAGAGCACACAGCAAAGTATAAAATAAAGTAAAATAAAAATATAGATATGAATAGCAGAAGATAAAAACTAAATGATTAACACTGTAGAATACAGGCTGGTTCAAAACAAATCACAGCGTCAAAAGCCAGAGAATAAAAGTGGGTTTTTAAGTGAGACTTAAATACAGTGAGAGTGGGAGCCTGCCTGACATGCAGGGGTAAGTCATTCCACAGTCTTGGACCTGCAACAGAGAAGGCCTCGTCACCTCTGAGCTTACGACGGGTTTCTGGAACTGAAAGAAGCATCAGATCTGCTGACCTCAGAGAGCGCAGTGGGACATATGGCTGCAGCAGATCAGTGAGATAAGAGGGGCAGAACTGTTCAACGATTTAAAAACACAGGAGAATTTTGATTATTGTTGTATATTATTATGAATTTTACGACTAGGGGTGCACCGATAAATCGGCCGTCCGATTTCCTTTAATTTTGGGAAATCGGCCGATACTTGCACGGGAAGCTGATTTTACAGATTTTTTTTTTTTGTTTGTTTTAACAATTGTCTAAACTTCATTTATATTTCAGAGCACTATCTCATGGTCGGTTATAACAAGTTTATTGTTTCTAGGATATTGTTCAAGGGTATGTTTTTCAATAAAATAAGATTGAAAATTGAAGGTGCATCGTGACCTTATAACACCTGACAGTGTCGCTTGTAAAATAAAATCGATATCGGCCGAATTCTGAATCGGCAGGTCAGACTTTTTAGAAATCTGTGATCGGCCAGAAAACTGCAATCGGTGCACCCCTATTTACGACTGTTAAGTTTCATAGAAGGGTCCATTATCACTCCCATGTGATGGTGTTCCTATTGAGTTTGTCGATTCTTACAAATACCTGGGAATCTTGGTCGATGCACATCTCTCTTTTAAACCTCATGTTGAAAACTTGGTAAAGAAATTGAAAGTTTTTTTTTTTTCCAGAAATAGATCCTGTGCTAGGAAACGCCACTTTCTTTCCCTCCATTGACTACGGTGACATTACTTGCATGAACGCTACAAGCACCCTGCAGATGTTGGACACTGTCTATCATGGTGCACTTAGATTCATAACTGGCTGTAACTACCGTGCCCACCACTGCACCCTGTATGCACTGGTTAACTGGACATCATCTTCATGCAGACCCTCACTGGTATATTTTCATCTTTAAATCACTTCTTGGTCTGCTGCCTTCATACATCTCCTCCTACATGTCACTTCGTCAGTGCAGCTCCCAAGACATAATTACCTGCAGTGTCCCTTCAGTGCAAACCAAATTAGGCAAAAGGGCCTTCTCCTACTCAGCTCCTATAACCTGGAACACCTTGCAAAAAAAATCTGAAGCTCTCGACTTTGACCTCTAAGAGATTTTAAAGAACTGTTGAGTTCAATGCAAAAATCAACGCAGACATGTTCCTGTTTTTAGTATTTTACCCCATTTCATCATGTAGCTTGTTTTTATTTTGTTTGTTTTATATGCTTTTGATTTTATACGCTTTTATATGAATGTTTAGTGCTGTGTGTGCCTTGTCTGTTTTTTTTTTTTGTTTGTTTAAAACGAGTCTCTCTTGTAAACGAGTCCTCGTGACTCAATGAGACTAACCTGTATAAATAAAGGTTGAATGGATGAAAAATTGAAATAGTTTACCGTGGTCTAAAAACAATCAAAAGTGCCTGCCATGATGAGAACAACACGCATGCTTTTCAAGATTTTAAAGCTGTTTTTTTCCTGAGCTCACAAAAACTAGATAAATTGTAGCCATGCAACATTTAAAGTATTTATTTTTTACTGTCAGTGCAGCGATTAAAGCTGCCGGTGAGGACATGGTGAAGTTCACGATGATTGATCTTCAAACGTGTGAATCTCCTATTAATGCAGACCAGAGTTAACAGGTTTTGGAGCAACAATTCATGCCTTCCAGACAGGATTCTGTTCTCAAACCACACAGGGCTTGTTTGAAATCAGCAGGGTTCCCTGGTAGTAAAACATAATTTATAGCTCCTAATAAAACCAGTTTTATAGTTACCTTTTTGTTTTTGCTGCTAAAGGCTTAAATGATACAACCACAAAATGGAAACATTCAGGACGGAGCAAAGAGCGCAATTAGTTAAAAAAAAACAAAGTTGAAAATCTTGCAATTACCACGACTTTTACGGTGTGTAATAAAACAATGTGCTTTAATTGTGTGCACTAATAAACCCAGCATGTTTTTCCAGTAATTTTGTTTTATTTGTTAGGTATGCACACATTCCTCGTAAGAGTTTGTTGGCTAAACTGACTTGCCTTTATTCAACTTTATAAACGGTTGATGAAATATATAAAAATTAGCCTTAAAGCTGTTGATTTGTTGATTTATAAAGCGAGGAGGCACAGGACACGTTAAGTTCCGGTTCGAAAAGTTTAGCTCCTCAGTAAAAGCACTCCTACATAAAGTTGTTTTAAAGATGCACCTTCATCCTAACGTGTAAAATATAAATTCAAAATGAGCACGATTGTAATCGTTTTGTTAGTACCGAATAAAAACAGGACGATTATTGGAAGTACTGGACATGAAAAGTAAATTATTAAAGTTGCTTCAAAGAAAAACGAAAGGTTTGTTTCTTATGTTGAATTTCAGCTGTTTTTGGTTTATTTATCACTTCTAGTCGCATTTTTTAAATTCCTCCCCGGCTTTCTCACCGCAGAGTTGGAAAATAAAAACCCCTAATGTAGCTGAATTTCTTACATCTTGATACAAACACACACGGACACGAGCAGTAACATTCGCCTTTTGGCAGCAGGAGATTAAAATGTAAAACTGAAGTTCATGTCCAAAGTTCAGCCAGGTCATCTGGATGGTTTCTTTTTTTTTTTTTTGTTGAGACGCTTCATCCTTCATCCAAAGGACTTCATCAGTCCAAGGAGCCACAACAAACTCAGTCCCACAAGCAGCACACTCACCGGTGGGGAACCTATCGAAGCTCCAAAATTCACGGTTGAAACCCGTGCCTTTGTGTAAAAAGTTTTTCTCTGCAAAAACAAGCTGAGAACTTGTTTACTGATTTTTTTTTTTTTAAATTAAAAGCTTTGTGTGGAAAAATGCTATGCTAAAGAGCCCAAACCACACCGAGCGTCCGCCATTTTGAGAAATGAAAAACAGAAGGAGAGACAACCCATGTCATGTCAAGGGGCCTCCCTCCCATTTTCTTAAAGAGGCACGCTGCTCGCTCCCTCACTATCCATCCTTCGGTTCAAACAGTCTTATACTGCCATCCAGTGATCAAAAAAGGTACTACACACAAAAACTAACCTCCGTTTTTTCTTAAATTTGTCAATAATTACTAATTATTGTCAAATTTCAAGCGATATTATCGTTTATCGCAATAATTTCTGAGACAATTAATCGCCCAGCAAAATTTAATATCGTGACAGGACTATTCAAGGATGAATCGTCTCAACATAAAAAGAAACCGTCCAGATGACCTGACTGAACTTGGTTGGACTTTTTACCTGGATTATTGAACGTGAACTTTGATGTTTTGAACCACTTTGGCTGTGGCTGCCAACCCATCTTCTCAACCAGCAGACTGGTTGATCCACTATGCGAGTGTGCTGCTTGTGGGATTCAGTTTGTTTGTGGCTCCTTGGACTGCTCAAGTCCTTTGGATAAAGGACGAAACGTCTCAACAAAAAAAGAAACGGTCCAGATGACCTGACTGAACTTTGTTGGATTTTTTTTACCTGGATTATTGAGCATGAATGTGGATACTTTTTACTCAGTTTATTCTTTTGTTTCTCATCCAGGTGGAAATCCACGACGATCACCTCTGGCTGGGGATCCTTCGATGCAGATTCTCAATGTTGGGATTCACGGCTGCCCTGACCGGACATGTTCTCCCCCTCTTCATCTGATTTAAACTGACCCCTCTCTGCTGTGGATTGTTTCACAGTTAGTGTATAGAACAACTTATCCACAGCTAGAACATTTTGGAATCTGTGACTAGTCGCTGATGATGTAGTAAATCTAACGTCGTTTGAGATTTTCCGTTGTTGCGATGGCCACTGCCACCTCTCCAGAGAATCACCAGCCGCTCCTTCAGCTCCAAGAGGTGGACTCCAGCCGGGTTGCCAGTCGCATCCTGTCCCCAGTCCTCAGCTCCTCCCCCGGTCTGTCCCACGAATCCAACCAGCCCATCTGCATCCCCGCTCCGTACACCGACCTCGGCCACGACTTCTCCCCTATTCCTTTTTACAGCCCGACCATCTTCAGCTACGCCGGCCCCAGCATTTCGGAGCGCCCCTCGGTGCGCCAGTCGTTGAGCGCCTCTTTATTTTGGCCCGGTCACGGACACGTCGGGGGTTCCATACCCCTGCACCGCTCCCAGACCCGAGCCCAGCAGCACAGCCAGCCAGTTCAGAGTCCGTGGGACAGCGTTTTAACAAGCAGGTAAGACGGGAAAATCCAAGTCCGAGAGAGCCAAAGTCTACCAGGAGGAGAAATGTTGCCGTCAAACATAACTTCTTTCTTTCAAAGTGTTGTTTCTTTACGTCAAATAATGATAAAATAACAAACAAAAGAAGTAAACAAAACGACTGAAAATGTTTTGCTTCCCATCCCAGAACAGAAGTCCAGTTTTATTTTACTTTTTAACATTCCTGGATGACTAAGAATCTACACCAGAATAGCACTTTTGTGTTTACAGTAACCAAAGTATTTTTCAAAACTGTTTCAGTAAATAACCAGAAAATATCCCATCAAGTCAAAATTAACTTGTAACCAGTTTTTATGTGGTAATAGTAACAGATCTACTGGTTGTCTTTGCTCGCCAACAAAATAAACGTTGGGGATTTTAATGAAACTGTCTTACAGCATCCGTTAGACCTGATTACATTTTGGGAGTTAACCAAATTCAAGATGGCCGCTACAGCTAATCAACCTTAGCAAACGCAAAACTGGATGTATCTCGGCTGGTCCTACAAACATTGATACAAATTTTATTGATACCTTCAAGATCTTTACTTAAAACATTAGTTATTGTTTCTGTTATCAACAGAACAGATTTTAATGTAACTTAGATAATTTTTTTAAATGTAATCATTATAACATTTACCACTTATTAACCGTTAAAATCAGTTCAGTTTAAGATGTCTACCACAGCCAGTTGACCTCGGCTGCACATGGACAGCTATAACTGGATGAATTTTACAGATATCAAGCTTCAGAGTGATGTTGAGATTTGGGCTGCACAGTGTACCAAACGTATTCTAATATCAGTGCATGAATATCAAAGAACCGCTGACAAAGTTTGCATGGACCGAATACACATTTGGCAATCGGATGGACCTCGACTCCTCTCCAAGCCCGCAGCCGAGACACGGAGAGTGTAAATACAGAACGTGGGTTTATCACAACTGATGCCGTCATGTCAATATTCAACACTAATGTTTTCCTTATTGAGCAGCCCTAACCGAGTCAGTCCCAACTCTGAGCGCTAACAGATCATGCAAGTTCTTGTGACATCACATCTGCTGTAATTTCCGGACTAGTGAGCGCACTTGAAAATAATGAAAATAAGCCACGCCCACTAAATTTAAAAAGGGAAACGATTGTACATGTCTAGGCCGCACTTGTGTATAAGCTGTAGGTGTCCACGTTGTAATACGAGATATTTGCACAGAAAGATTAAAAAAACAACTTTTAATTAAATACGTACATGGGGGAGTGGTGGCGCAGAGGTTGGAGAAGGTGGGCCTGTGATCAGAAGATCGCCAGTTCAAGCCCCGGTACCGGTGCTTCACCTACTGAAGTACCCACACCTGCCTCCACCCTCATTCGCCCCACTCGGGGCCCATGAGCAAGGCCCTTAACCCCCCACCATCTGCTTCCTAAACAGGTCTCTCTTGAAAATGAGTTCTCGTGGCTCAATGAGACTACCTGGATAAATAAAGGGTAAATGGAAAAACAAAAATAAATCTTATCACCAACGGGTTTCGAAAAGCCGAACTGCAGCGTGATGGAGGAGAGCACGAGCTCAAAAGGGCACAGTGCGCAGGAGGAAGATGAAGGTTGCGGTCAACGACTTCCTGGTAGGCTACTGTATTTTATTTTATTTTAAACCAGCTGTTTTTTTGTTTTTTTTCATTCAACCTTTATTTATACAGGTTAGTCCCATTGAGCCTCAGGGACTCGTGTACTAGAGAGACCTCATTTTAACCGAGTGTTACAGGCACTATTTAGAAAAAACATTTACTGTACGTATTTGTGTAGGATACTAGTATATACCAACAAAGTCCATGCTCAATAATCCAGGTACACAATCCAACAATTTTCAGTCAGGTCATCTGGACAGTTTTTTTTTTTTTGTGCTGAAACGTTTCACCTCCCATCCAGAAGGCTTCTTCAGTCAAGGAAACACACAACACAAAACTGATTCTTCCCCCAACAGCTTACTCCAAAGTGTAACAAACCAGTTATGTTGGTGCTAAGATGGTCTCTTTGGCACGCCCCCTCCTCCAGTGCCGGCCCTCTTCCTCGTCGACGGTCATGTCAAACTGGTTCAAAACCAACAAAGTCCATGCTCAATAATCCAGGTATACAATCCAACATTTTTCAGTCAGGTCATCTGGGAGGAAACTAGAGTACCTGGAGAAAACCCACGCATGCACGGAGAGAACATGCAAACTCCACCCAGAAAGGTCCCTGGACCGGGGTTTGAACCTAGGACCTCCTCGCTGAGAGGCAGCAGCTCTACCAGTTGCGCCACCGTGCAGCCCCCATACCGGTATATATTTAATTAAAATTTAAAAATCTTTGTGTAAATGTCTCGTGTTACAACGTGGACACCTGCAGCTCATACACAAGGGCGGCCTGTATATGTACTTAAAAAATAAAATAAAATAGTGGGCATAGCTTTTATTCAGGTGCGCTCAATTGTCCGGAAATTATGGTAGTCTCATTGGGTCACTAGGACCCCGCCCCCCAAGAGGAATATGTATTGGGCTGCTATGTGAGCACGAGGCTAAATGTTTTGGCGGCATGACGCTCATTAGCCCGTCTAAAAATAAATAAGCACAATTCCATAAATTAGTCGCAACATTGTTTAAGCCGTGGTGTTCAAAGCGTGTGGAAAAAGTAGCTGCTTATAGTCCGGAAATCACGGTAATAGTGCTTAACATTCTTTTCCAGATTTGTTCCAAACCCTGTAAAACTGCCAGGATCAGGTGATCTTAGTCTAAAACTTTGGCGTAGTGCTTCTCTTCAGGTTATATTTATGTTGTGGTGCGAAACAATGACTGAACGTGTCTGTTAGTAAGAGCGCGAGGAGGATCTCCCTGGAGAACGAGGAGGCCGTGGTGTCGTCAGGCGGGAAGGCAGACCTCCACTACTGCGCCGTGTGTCACGACTACGCCTCGGGGTATCACTACGGGGTGTGGTCCTGCGAGGGCTGCAAGGCGTTCTTCAAGAGGAGCATCCAAGGTGACACGCACACCTGGGATTCTGCGTTTTGGGGGCGGTGGCTCCGAACATTTTGCACTACGTGCAGCGACTTCATTCTTCTACTTCTCTTTGTTTCAGGACACAACGACTACATCTGCCCGGCAACTAATCAATGCACCATCGACAAAAACCGCCGCAAGAGCTGCCAGGCTTGCCGCCTTCGCAAGTGCTACGAAGTTGGCATGACTAAATGTGGTTAGTGAGGTTTTTTCACATTCACGTCATTCCAGCGTTTTCTCTGTACAGATGTTGCAATCTAAAAACTTCTGTGTAATCTGTGCTGATTTAGCGAATTGTATATAAATTGTTCATCTCATTCAGGAGATGGTTGCTATAACTTATGTTTTTTTTTAATAGTTTTCTATATATTTATTTATTATAAATATTCCCCGTACAGAAATACATTGAGATCTATTTTAATCTTTCAGAAACGTTTCTCTTTGAAACCTGCTCTTCGTGCCGATTCTGTTTTGATTTCTTGTGCTATTTTTAGTTTTTAGCTAGCCGTATGCTACGTTTGGATAGCATTTTGCCACTTTTAGCTTTTGCTTTTGCTACTTTTGGCCATTATTGGCTATCATGTTGCTGCTTTTAGACAGCACTTTTGGATTTATTTAGTTTTTATTGTTTTTTTTACCGTTTATCTAGTATTCTGCTTCTTGTAGTAACACCTATTCAGCAAAATAATTCTGTACTTATCCAACAAAGTTCAGTCGGGTCATCTGGACGGTTTCTTTTTTTTTTTGGAGAAGTTTCATTCTTCATCCAAAGGACTTCATCAGTCCAAGGAGTAGTCCCACAAGCAGCACATTCACATAGAAACCAACCAGTTTGCTGGTGATAAGATGGTTTCTGAGCCTTATCACCAGCAAACTTGTTGGTCTGCTATATGGGAGTGTGCTGCTTGTGTGGCTCCTCGGCCTGATGAAGTCCTTTTTTAAATTTTTTTTAACCTTTATTTAACCAGACAAATCCCATTGAGATCACAGATCTCTTTTGCAAGGGAGGCCTGGGACTGAAGGCCTAACATGCATGTCTTTATCTGTGGGAGGAAACCCACGCAAGCACGAGGAGAACATGCAAACTCCACACAGAAAGACCCCAGGTCCAACCGGGGATTGAACCCAGGACCTTCTTGCTGCGAGGCAACGGTGCTAACCACTGAGCCGTCGTACTGCCGTCCTTTGGATGAAGGACGAAACGTCTCGACAACAAAAAAACATCCAGATGACCTGATTGAACATTGTTGGATTTTTTTTTACTTGGATTATTGAGCATGAACTTTGAACTCTGAACTTGCTGCTGCATTTTCTCAGGAGATGCAGTTTCTTTAGTTTTTTTTAAATCTGCGCTCTGTTTCTGTTTTCGAGCTACTTTTAGTTTTTACTCTGCTGCCTTAAGCTTCGTTTTGCAACTTTTATCTTTTTGTCTAGCATTTTGCTACTATCGTCCTTAACCAGTGTTCTGTTTCTTTTATCTTTAACTTCTTTCCTTTTTCCTCAGGTATTCGCAAAGAGCGTGGAAACTATCGGAGCCCGCTGGTGAAGCGAGCGACCCGTCTGTCCTCGCAGGGCAGAATAAACAGACCAAAGATGTTGACTGGACCAGCGGAGAGTTTATTAAACGAGCCTTCCCCACCTGCGATGCCCCCGGAGCAGCTGATCCAGCGAATAATGGAGGCGGAGCCACCGGAGATCTACCTCATGAAGGGCATGAAGAGGCCGCTGACGGAGGCAGACGTGATGATGTCACTCACCAATCTGGCTGATAAGGAGCTGGTTCACATGATCAGCTGGGCCAAGAAGATCCCAGGTACCCGTTAAAGTTCATGTGAAAAAGTCTGAACTAGAATATATAAGATCCTAAAATGATCAGTCTTTACTGATGACTCAACTGGCCTTCCAGTAAAATTAAATAAACGTAGACTTTGTTTTCAAAGCGTTTCTGTCCGTTTTATACATGAGGTGGTTAAAATGCCACGCAGGACCGTTTGACTCGCTCACCATGTTGGACGTAGTGACTTAAGTGAGTTAAACGGTGAACTTTGACCCAGTTAAGCAAAGTTCAAGTTCCGCAGACGAGGGTTAATGCACGTACAGTGCATGCCTATTTCTGTGTATATTTTAGTGAATACGCTCGGAGCAAAGGGGGAAGAAAGACGAGCAAAAACAATTTATTTTCCTCTTCCAGTTTTTATTTACACATTCAGATTGTGAGCACAAGAAATAATGCGTATGAACTTTGCGTTTGTTAGAAAGTTTAAAATGAAATGTTTGATGAAAGAAAACGACGAGCGACACGGTTCTAACATGAACATTTATCCATCCGTGCGTTTTCTGTTGTTTATCCGTGATTCGGTCACACGGTGCGAAGGGTTCGGAGGGAAACCCAGACGTCCCTCTGCCCCCGTTACACTCCAGCTCCTTTTGGGGAATTCAAAGGCGTTCACACAATGTTACTTTAAGAAGATGCGGTGTTTTTAGTAAGTTCGGGGTCTGCCCTGGGGTCTTCTCTCAGCGGAACGTGTCTGAAAATCCACCAAATCGAAGCCCAAGAGATCTCCCAATTAGATGCGTGAACCACTTCAAATGACGTTTTTCGATGCAGAGGAGAAGCGGCTCTACTCGGAGTTCGCCTCCGACGACGGAGCTCCTCACCCTACAAGGTTCAGCCTGACCATCCTTTGAAAGAAGCTCATTTCACCCGCTTGTATCCGACCTTTTGTTCTTTCTGTCACGATTCATATTTTGTGATCTCGGGTGAGGGTTGAAACGTAGGCCAATAAATCTAGAGCTTTGCCATCTGGACCTTCTTGACCAGAACAAACCAGAGCTCTCGTTACTGTGGACGAGGCTCTGATTTGCCACTTTAACTCACCGTCACTCGTCACCTAAACTCCTCTGCTTGAGATGGGGAGTCGCTCTCAACCCAGAGTGAGTATTTCAGCGTTTCCAGATTAAGAGTGATGGCCTCAGACTTAGAGCCGACTCTCGTCCCGTCCTCCTGACACTCGGCTAAGAACTGCCACAGTGCTCGCTGAAGGTCATTGCTCCAAGTCGCCACAGAACTACACCGTCTGCAAAAGGCTTTGCAGATGATGTGCTTGCCTCTTGCTTTGTTTCTACAGGGACTAGCGTGATTTTGGCTGTATAAGTCACAGTTTTTTGCATAAATTAGCATGCCTTCGACTTATACAGCGAAGCAACGTATTTTAGTTTTCCATATTCATAACCCAATGTTCGTCCGAGATCTGACAATTTCATTCATTCTGACATGGAAAATATTGAACACCACCATTTTCAGCTGCTAGAGGGCCCTCGGCTAATATGGCAAGCCAAGTGTCTCATTAATAGGTAAACGTGGCTATTAATGAGACACTTGGCTTGCCATACCAAGCCACCTTCGTCTCAATCTGGAACTCCTGGCGCAAACGTCAAATCAGCTTCATTTCACCGCCCACGCGAAATGCAGCTGATTTGACCATTAAAGTGCGTTCATTAAGGAAAAGTTCAACCGAGACGCACCTTTGCTATAATTTTGAGCAAACAAATAATTGTTTTTAGGTGTTAACTTTGTTTAAAATCTTGTTAAAGTCCTCCTGTGCATGCTCCGGTGTTTGCCATTTGGCAGCCAGTCAGTTTGGTTTGGTAGGTGGGGTGCTCAGTTCTGTTGACGGGGTGGGGCACCCCGCTTGTATGATGATAGGGGAAACACTGAAGTGACACCAGTACCCCATACCCTCTGCAGTATCCCCCACAAAATACCTCAAGGAACAGTCATAATCGCAGCTGTAGACCAAAGAGACAAACTCCTGCGATCCCTTGAACACTGCACGGGTAAAGTTCTGTCCACTGAACCATGACATAAACAAAAACCACACTTCTCCTGAATCCGAGGTTCGACAATCAGTCAGTCTTTCTTCCAACGCCCTGGAATGAACTTTCCAGTGAGGCTAAGTGTGTTCGCACAATAGTCTGATCACACTTTCCCATCCAGTCCGACTCCACAAGTGATTAAATTAACCAACATAAAATGGCTTCAGTGATTGCCAGAGTTGCACATTTGTGTAATTAATATCACCCATTTATGAACAGAGGAGCTTATTTTTAAATAAATAAGTAAATGACTTCTCTCAGGCAGGTAGTGTCTCTGCCTTATTTAGCTTTTGAACTTTCAGTCCTGTAAAATTCAAGCAAAGCGTTTTAATCCACGTCTAACATTGAGCTGTGACGCAGCAATTATTGTGCGACTCCTCGGTGATAAAAGTTGTGGACAAATGTGGCCACTGTAGCCGCTTTTAATCTGAAAGTTTAAAAAAAAAAATCTGATCACGACAAACAAACCTTTTGCCCTCCGTGTGTGTACTTTCTCATCGCAGCCTGAGGGAAATCAAACAGCCGCAGACGACAGAACGGGGCAAAAGTCGCTTCAGTTTATTTACTGTTGTCGGAAGAAGCCTGACTGTGATCTTTTTAAACGATCTTAATCAATAGTTCTCCAGGCTTGATGAAGGGTCTTTTTTTTTTTTTGTTCTTTCTTCAGGACAATGGTTAAATTTTAAAACGTTTAAGTCAATATTTTTAATTCAAGCAGTCGGTGCTCATGGACAAAACTTTATAAACGCCTTCATAAAGGCAGATCTGTTGAGAGACCTTTGTTAAACACTCTGGTTTCTTAGAAGCAAAATATAAAAGAAACGAGGGGCGGTGGAACCCAGCCTGCCTCATGTCAACACCCCACTCCACCAGGAATGTTTTCTTGACACACTCCGGACCGTTTGTTACTGATCAGTCATGGATCGAATGCCACAGTCTCCCCAAGCATGTCACAGACCACGTGCATTCCTTCACAGCCACAAACCTTCTAATGCCTGCGTCCAGGGTCACAAATCAAAACGGATCTCCAACGGACACTTGCTTTATGGTTTAACGCACACGGCTGCAGCCTTTTGTGCTTTCACATTTAGCAGATCTTAATTCAGTAAAACAACTTTGGGTGGGAAGGAGCAGGAGACTGGCAGCAAACAAGAACGTGACAAACTTATAGATGTGAACTGTGATGGACTTGCAACCTGTGCAGGGTGGACCTCGCCTCGGTGACCGCTGCTCCCCCGTGAATCACCACAGAAAGGCGTTTAAAGGAGATTTTTAGGAATGCACGATATTATCGGTATCGGCCGATATTAGCGATAATGTTAAATATCGGCCATTCCATAAAAAAACTCTGATATAAAAGGCTTCCGTTTTAAGTTTTTTTTTAATTTAGGAAACTGTCAAGTATATCTATTAATGCACTACTACTTATGCACTTTTCACTTGTCGTTTGTGAACAGGTTGAGTTTAGATTTGTGAAGATTTACAAATCGGCACTGAAGTGTTGCATCATTTTCAGCTCCCTTTTTGGCATCTGCATTTTGCAGCAGGCCATATTGACAAAGACCATGCAGAATAATTTAGTATTTTAATCCCACAGCAGAGAAAGCTATGTAATCTCTGTAAGTTGGTCTAGGGGAAAAAATATTGGCATTTGTATCGGTTGTCGGCCAAATAAGTTTTAGCATATCGGCATATCGGATATCGGCCAAACATCCAATATTGTGCATCCCTAGAGATTTTCATTGTACTTCTAACTTTACAAATTTTTTTTATCAATAGCAGTTTGCGTTCAGGTAATATTTTACTGGACTGACTCGTTGCTGAATAGCATTTAGGAGGGAGTTTCCATAACGTTCAAGAAAGTTCTCAATTTGGTAGAGGTAGGGCAGCTGACTCGGGACCCGAAAGTCCCAGGTTCCACTCCCAGCTATTCCCACATGTCGTGTGTCTGAGCAAGACACCTAATCCCTAATTGCTCCCCGGGTGCTTGCATAGCTACATGGGTGTATTTCAGGTGCGATGGGTTAAATTGCGCTGCTCAAGGTGGCTGTATGTTGGAGCAGCTCTGTTGCTAATGGTTTCATGCTAGGATGTTGCCTTTGGAAACTTTAATTCCTCTTTTTTTTCTGGAGGTAAATCACTTTTTTTGGAGATTATTTTTATATCAGATGCTGTGCAGCTGGAAGGATTTTTACCGAAACCTTTTTACTTTTGGACATTTGTTATGAAGCGTAACCATGGCGACACGTTTTTTTTTACAACCGGGAGCAGCAGATTAACTTCTCTAAAGCTCTTATAATAGAGCTATAGCCCCAAATCACAAATGAGTTAAAAAGGAGGTGCCGTGGACGCATCCCCGTCTACCTGGCAGACCTGACTGCCGAGATCCTGGAGCTGGGAGAAACGCAGCTTGTGACTACAAGAAGACCAGGATCATTCCTTGACACCTGCAGCTGGCTGTCCGCAATGACGAGAAGCTCAACAAGCTGCTTGGAGGAGAGACCATCGCTCAGGGAGGAGTTCTGCCCAAGATTCAGGTGGTCCTGCTGCCCAAGAAGACCGAGGAACCCACCAAGTCCAAGTAGACAGATCAACATCTGCAGTCAGTTTCCTCAGATCTGCTCTAAGACGGACGGCTACAAGAGCTCCTTCCTGCCCTCAGCCATCAGCATCTAGAACAACTCTAATGAAACCAGGATGATGAGCTACAACATTTACCAGTAATTTACCTTTGGGATCAATAAAGTATTTTTGAATTGAATGCAGAGACCCATTGTATGGGAACATACGGTGATGACAACACAAAGCACTTTATTTAATTTCACCCTGAGAGTTTCAGACGGGCGCAGTGTTGTCACTTGAACTTTGAACACAATCAAAAGATTTGTGGGACAAGTCACAGAATCATTGCGAGGATCTTGAACCCGTCTCAAACCACAGGACGGTCTAAAAACCACATCACCGATTGATAACGATGATTAAACACGTGATCTAAATCTGCCCGTCTTCATTTCTAAAGTGGACTACAGCAGATTAAATCATAAATGTGGGGTGGCTGTCAAGGTGGGTACAAAACGGACTCGGTTGGGTCATATGTGGGCAAAGTTCCTGGAGAAACTTTGCCACATGGCAGACATTTTAAAATGTAGATGATAAAATGCCTACGTTTTGATATAAACAATAATATGCATGTGTATCTTAAAAGATGTGGTGGCAGGAAGAGCTTGTTCGATGACGTGTACCGAGTTTTGTTCACAGACCTCTTCTCTCCGGGTCATGCGACCTCACTGTGGCAGTTAGAGGACGTTAAAGAGTTCTGTCAGTGTTTTTCAGAGGAAAATGGTGTCTTTGTTTGGAAATTACGTCGCCATGGTAACTCGAAACGCCAATGAAAGTAACGGCACACATCACAGTGCCGAGCCGGTCGTTTTGATACAACATTTGTGGGGGTACACGTTGCTGTTCGGGCTGCATTAAAGTTGATAGAAGAGCAAGACCCTTTAAACACAGACGGCTCAAAATGTGGCCGCTGGTCACAAACACTCAGTTAATGAGGGAGACTATAACAAAATATATATTTTTGTAATTTTGAGCCACTAACTATTCAACAGTCACAGCGCAGTGACGTCGCTGCCGTCAGAGTTCATTAAAGCCGGCTGTTGCCACGCTACACCTCAATACGCACAACAGTGAACCAAATATTCCAATGATTTGTCAAACTCTTCGTCAGTGTCAAGATGTGATTTTTCATTTCTGTGTCCATTTCCATTTGTTGTTTATTTTGAAATTTGAGTAAATTAGTAGTTGGCACAAACAAAAAGTTAACACAGTCGGCTTCTTTATTAAAATCCTGCTTCAATTTAAAGTTCATTTTCAAACCTTTCCTGTTCACGGCTCGTTTTTTGGTGCTTTTAGTTCGTCTGTAGGTAAATGGCACTTTCTGTCTGAAAGATGAATATATATATTTTGTTTGAGCTTTTTATTTTTACGTTTCTTTTCATCGTGTTCTGTGCTCGTCGTTTTTAGACGCCCGCTGTAAATGTATAAATTAGTCTCCGTCCAGCCGTAAACTTTCTCTTATCCCATCGATAACGTCCGATTTGCTCAAGATAATTTATTGAAACTTCAAACACACGTGCATCAATGGGCTAGGTTTCATGTACACTTTCCATCCCCTCTGCTTCAAGGTCACAAATGAAGGTCAACGGTCATACAAGGTTCTTTCTTATCCAGACGATTGCTATACATCGCTATGTTTAATGTGCAGCACTCTTGTTTTGTCCTGATTATTCTCTGGTAAAAACCAAACGAAATATAAACTCGTCATCGTTGATGAATCGCTTGTGAAGAGTTTTGTCTCTGGTCTCGGTCACACCCAGTCTGTTTTTCTCGCTCAGGGTTCATGGAGCTCAGTCTCCTGGATCAGGTGCATCTGCTGGAGTGCTGCTGGCTGGAGGTGCTGATGATGGGACTGATGTGGAGGTCCGTGGACCATCCGGGGAAGCTCATCTTCTCTCCTGACCTCAGCCTCAGCAGGTTCTGCTTCCATTTCTCTCTTTTTGTTTGTGATTAAAGCAAAATGTGGCAAAATGATCTCAAGTTCTTTGATTTTTGTGATTTAACCTCATTTATGGCCAACAAAGTTCAGTGTCCCCTCATCTCCTCAGCGAAAGCTGTCGCACCCATTTCACTTTTTTGTTTTTTAAAACCTTTTTACACGTAATTCTCCTTTATGTTAAAGTTATAAATCACAAATACTTTTCACTCAAAGAAAAAGAATAGAACATTTTGGACTCTTTTGTAAACCAGTTAGGGATGCACGATATTATCGGCACGGTATCGTATCGGACGATGTTGGCGTTAAAGTTCAGTATCGGACATCGGCCATTCTATCAAAATAATCACTGATATAAAAGGCGGACGCTGCAGCGGCAGCACAACGTGATGATGTCACTCACTACATCGTCCCCAGTCAGATATTTTTCCCATGTAGCCTTACCCGAGTTACAAGCCGTCATTTCTGACGTCATTGAGAAGATAACAGCCGAAAGCACTTGGATGAGTTTTACCAGACATTTGGACGTCGTGTTAGCCCCGTTAGCATGATTAGCCTTACAGCGCAATGGATAGACAAAAACTTTGATCTTAAAAAGTCTGTCCTTCATGCACAAGAGTGCAGAGGATCCATCACTGCAGCTGAACCTGGAACAAGCCTCCACAAGTGAGACAGTTTCGAAGGTGACTAATGCTAATAAATAACATTTAACGCGTTTCATTTAATGTAAGTTAAAGTGCTGCATATGGTTGTTACTGAATATAAGTCACCAGCTCTTACAGCTGTTACACAATTTTTGTAGCAAATAAGCCTAAATAAGAGAGAGGGCTATGTTCTGACAAAGGAAAGTACATTAAAAATATCATATCGGATATCGGCCAAATAAGTTTTAATATATCGGCCAAAAATCTAATATCGTGCATCCTTCCCTGATGGCAGAAATTTAAATAAAACATAACTGGGGCTAATTATAAGCCAACAATGTTTGTGTCTGAGTTAGAAAAACTCTTTGTTCTGATCAAATTCAGTTAATGACCTGTAGTTTTTGTGAGGATTAATTTAAACTTTTTGAGTTTAGTCTGTAAATACTGATTCAACATTTACTGTTTTTTTTTCCTGTACATTTTATTTACACGGCCTGGCCCAAAAAAAAGTTGCCACCAATAGGTACGAGCCTCCTATTGGATAATTACTGCATGGGCGATCATCTTTCAGCTGGAAACAAGTTATTTAACCTCAACTGGTGCCATGAGTTGCTTCTCATTTCTTAAACAACCGTGTTGAAAGACGCATCGCGCGGTCGTGGAAAAGATGTCGGTCTGTTTGAGAAGGGTCAAATCATCGGCATCAAGCAGAGAAAACATCTAAGCAGCAACTACTAAAACTGGGTTAAGAACTGTCCAACGCACCATTAAAAGCTTTAAGGATAGTGGGGACCCAACGTCTTCGAGAAAGAAATGTGGCCGGAAAAAAATCCTGAATGATCGTGATCGGCGTTCGCTTAAACGTTTGGTGAAATCAAATGGAAGAAAAGCATCAGAAGCACTCAGGGCTGTGTTTAATAGTGAAAGTAAGAGATTTCCACATGCACAGTGTGAAGGGAACTCGAGGGACTGGGACTGAACAGCTGTGTAGCCTTAAGAAAACCACTAATCAGTGAGGCTAACCAGAGAAAAACTCTTCAATTTGCTAAGGAGCATAAAGATTGGACTGTGGAGCAATGGAAGGAGGTCATGTGGTCTGATGAGTCCAGATTGACCCTGTTCCAGAGTGATGGGCGCATCAGGGTAAGAAGAGAGGCAGGTGAAGTGATGCACCCATCATGACTAGTGCCGAGTCATCAATGTACGATCTTGGTGAAAAATTAATGCGACACTGGACGGAATTGGATCTTGTGATATTGTAGACGCTTATCGAAACGATGCCACAGTGAATGCGTGATGTAATCAAAGCTAAAGGCGCTCCAACGAAATATTAGTGTGACCTTTTTTTTTTACACTAATCTGTTTCAGCCATTCGTATCAAAAAGTTACGCTTGTGCTGACATTTTTTCACAGAAAAGGCCTTTTCCCCCTAATTCAACCTCAGTTTTTTTTTGTTTTTTTTTCAACAAACATATTTTCAGTGTGTATTTTGAGCTGAAGTTGTTTTTACTCCAGGCCGTCTGTTGGGTGTTTGGAGACCAGTGTCTCCTCTAAAAGCAGAACGGCGTGTGCGATCCGGTGGATAAGTGCTCGTGTTTGTGTCTCCGTGTGGCAGAGAGGAGGGGAGCTGCGTCCAGGGCTTCGTGGAGATCTTTGACATGCTGATAGCTGCAACGTCCCGCGTGAGAGAGCTCAAACTGAAGAGGGAGGAATACGTCTGCCTCAAGGCCATGATCCTCCTCAACTCCAGTGAGTGAACACGTTGGTGTGGGCGGTTGGACGCTTGTTAACATCCTCTCTGTGTGTGTGTGTGTGTGTGTGTGTGGAGATAGTGTGTGCTCTGCTGGTGAAACATCACATGGCTGAGCGTTTCACACAGCTCCGTGTGTGATCCTGTGAGGGTGGAGAGTGAAGCGTTGACTGAACGACGTTCAACAGTGAACATCTGTAAATGGGACGCTTTGTGTGAGGATCTGCTCTGAAGCCGTGGAGCTGCTGCAGGCGGCGTGACGTCACACGGAACTTAATGGATTTCAGCGTCGAAGCTTTAAAGTTTGCTGCAGATCACTGTCAGTCACAAGATGGCTCTACCCATAAGTGTACCCCGTTTTATTGCTTTTTAATGCCTAGGCCTGTCGCAATAAACAATAAATTGATTAATCGCATGATAAATGAAAATTATCAACCTCATTTTCATTTATCAGCTTTGTGTCTTGTGTCTCTCTCTTTCTACTGAAGACACTGGACGACAAAAGGCTCAACTCCGGTGCTCTGCACTGACCCCTCCCTTTCTCTTTAAAATCTGTTTTAACGATCCAAAATCTCGTTAAAAGCAGCTAAGCTGAGAAGCTAAGCTAACAGGCCGACCATGGGGGGGGAAAAACCTCCGTCTTGTCGAAGCTCCAAAATTCACGGTTGAAACCCGCGCCTTCGTGTAAAAAGTTGTTTTACTCTGACAAAAGAAGTTGAGAACTTGTTTACTGATTTTTATTAAAAGCTTTGTGTGACAAATGCTATGCTGAAGAGCTCAAACGACACCGAGCATCCGCCATTTTGAGAACCGAAAACGGGAAGGAGAGACAACCCATGTCATGTCAAGGGGCCTCTCTCCCATTTTTCTTAAAGACACGTTGCTCGCTCCCTCACTATCCATCCTTCAGTTCAAACAGTCTTATACTGTCGTCTAGTGGTCAAAAAAGGTACTACACTCAAAAACAATTTAGTCAATATTTCTTCTTAAATTTGACAATAATTACTAATTATTGTCAAATTTCAAACAATTTTATCGTTTATCGCGATAATTTCTGAGACAACCGCCCTGCAAAATTTGTTATCGTGACAGACCTACTAATGCCGCCCTGTGTGGGTGCGTGTTTTTATCTTTATCACAATATTCATTCATTCAACCTTTATTTATACAGGCTCGTCTCACTGAGCCTCGAGGAGTCATTTATAAGAGAGGCCTGTTTTAACAAAGAACTAGAAAGTTCCTGTAGAGACTTTGATGGGGACTGCCACATTGCAGCCATTTTAAAATTCTGATTTGACAGTTCAGTACTCTGTCCAAGTCCGCTCTCCGCTACCACCGTAAATTTCAATTCAACATGGCAACAAATCAATGAGTCATTTTTCATTTCATTTTCTCCTACTCCGCTCCTGTTTCCTGGAACATCTTGCAAAAAGATCTGAAGCTCTCGACCTTGACCTCTCTAAGTGGCTTCAAACATCTGTTAAGTTCCTGAGAGAAACCAATGCAGACATGTTCCTGTTTTTAGTATTTTATATCTCTTTATAATGTACCTGTTTTTGTTTTGTTTTAATTTCATTTTTTTCCCATTTACTTTTCATTGTATTAGTTTTTATTTGACTGTCTATGGTTGCGTGTACCTCATCTGTGTTCTTTTGTCTAAAACAGGTCTCTTAAAAATGAGTCCTCGTGGCTCAGTGAGGCTAGCCTGTATAAATAAAGGTTGAATGAATTGTGAGGATTGAAAGGGCAATCTGCATATGTATTTAGCTTAGCTCAACTTTATAACTCGAGTCCCACACTCTCTGTTCTTTGAAGTGAGAAAGCTCCTCGGATGAGAATCGAAACGTCTTCTGCTACAAATAGTCCCTTTTTTTTTTTTTGTCTTGAACTTTTTTGAATGTAGCTGAAGTCGTGTGGAGTTCTAAGCTTTAAACTGCGTGATGTCCGTGTAAAAAATATTTTTCTACCTCGGTGATGTCTGTGTGCTGAGTTTGACATATTTATTTGACTGTTTTGTAAGAAATAACTTTGATACCTTCATTTAATTCTACTGTTGTTCGGCGTATGTTTTTTTTTTTTTTGTACTTTTATTCTTAGTTTAGCATATTTCTTAGTTCCTATCTCAGATTTTATTACTGTTTTTTTTTCTTTTACAATTTATACTTTTGTTGGATGTACCTGGGACCCTGTGTACACAATTTCATTCCACCAAATGTACCACATATGATGGGAATGACAATAAAGAGACCTTGACCTAAAAGTCAGTTGAAGTGCGTCATGACTAGGCCTGTCACGATAACAAGTTTTGCTGGACGATTGTCTCAGAAATTATTGCGATAAACGATAATATTGCTTGAAATTTGACAATAATTAGCAATTGTCAAATTTTTAATTTGTTTTGTAGTACTTTTTTTGACCACTGGATGGCAGTATAAGACTGTTTGAACCTAAGGATGGATAGTGAGGGAGCGAGCAGCGTGTCTCTAAGAAAAATGGGAGGGAGGCCCCTTGACATGACATGGGCTGTCTCTTTTTGGTTCTCAAAATGGCGGACGCTCGGTGTGGTTTGAACTCTTTAGCATAGCATTTTTCACACAAAGCTTTTAATAAAAAAAAATCATTAAACAAATTCTCAGCTTCTTTTTGCAGAGAAAAACAACTTTTTACACGAAGGCACGGGTTTCAACCGTGAATTCTGGAGCTTCGACAAGATTGAGATTTTTCCCCGAGGTCGGCCTGTTAGCTTAGCTCGTAGCTTAGCTTCTCGGCTTAGCTGCTTTTAACGATCCAAAAACGTGAATTTGGACGGTTAAAATGGATTTTAAAGAGAAAGGGAGGGATCATTGAAGAGCACCGGAGTTGAGCCTTTTGTCGTCCAGTGTCTTCAGTAGAAAGTGAGACACGAAGAAACAATAAAGCCGATTAATAGAAATGAGGTTGATCATTTAATTTATCGTGAGATTAATTGATTTATTGTTAATTGTGACAAGCCTAGTCATGACCCTTCGACTGCATTTACTTTAAAAACACTGGATATGTGTCCGATTCAGTACAACATATCTGAAAAAGATCTGGGTTTGATTAAAATAAATCAGATTTGGGCCACTTTTACCTGCAGAGTGAACGTTGCCTTATTTCAAACTCAGGGAGACGTGCATTCCTTGAAGAAATGCCAAGCTTTAGTTAATTTTATATCTTTTAAATATGTACCTTGCTTTAAAAAAAAAAACTAGTTTCTAAGAAAAAGAAAACCTTTGTAAAGACGATTAGTTTCGTGTTTGTGTAGAAGGGAACACGTGAAGACAAACCCACAGTTTGTTTAATCGGCTCTGATTTCTTTCTGCGTCCGTTCAGACTCGACTGGATCTGTAATGAACTCCCAGCAACAGTGAACTTCTGCTTCACACTTTCAGCACAACTGAACGGTGAAAATGAATTTACCCCGATGTTTTAACTCACTAACTCGAGTTCATGTTGGTCTTCTGCTACTTGTAAAAATAAAACAGGTGGACGTGCTGCTGTTGTACAATCGGCTACATTAAAATAAAGAATGCGTAACAAACTGCTCCAGCAGATAAAAAGAGTGACTTGTCTGCTGCTGTCGTTAATGTTGTGCTGATCACGTTTCTTCAGACATGTGCCTCAGCTCCTCCGAGGGCAGCGAGGAGCTTCAGAGTCGCTCCAAACTGCTGCGTCTGCTGGACGCCGTCACGGACGCCCTGGTGTGGGCCATCGCCAAGAGCGGCCTGACCTTCCGCCAGCAGTACACCCGCCTCGCGCACCTGCTCATGCTGCTCTCGCACATCCGCCATGTCAGGTAACAGCCATGTTTTTGCTTGTGTGTCTGTTGGCAAAATATCTCCCAAACGCTGAAACTCACTCGCTTTCGGAGTGGTGGCGGATAATCCACGTTGGCAACACAAAAATCACTCGTAGTTCAGTTTTACTGATGTTGAGCTAAAATTTGGTGCCGTAGCTGCGACTAACCCGCAACAAAAACGTCAATTGCTGCACATTGTTTAAAACTTTGGCATGGTTAGCATCAACTCTGTTAGCAAAATATGTCGTGGATAGGCCTGTCGCGATAACAAATTTTGCGGGGCGATTAATTATTGCGATAAACGATAATATTGTTTGAAATTTAACAAAAATTAATTGTCAAATTTTAGAAGAAATGTTGATTTGTTTGGAATGTAGTACTTTTTTTGACCACCTGATGGCAACGTAAGACTGTTTGAAACAACTTTTTACACGAAGGCACGGGTTTCAGCCGTGATCTTTGGAGCTTTAACAAGACGGAGGTTTATTCCTCAGGTCGGCCTGTTAGCTTAGCTTGTAGCTTAGCTTGTAGCTTAGCTTGTGGCTTAGCTGCTTTGAACGATCCAAAAACACAGTTTTAGATGGTTAAAATTGAATTTAAAGTGAAAGGGAGGGGTCAGTGAAGAGCACCAGAGTTGAGCCTTTTCTCATCCAGTGTCTTCAGAGACACGAAGAAACGATGAAGCAGATAAATGAAAATTAGATCGATAATTTTCATTCATCATGCGATTAATTGATTTATCGTTTATCAGGCCTGGTCTTGAACCTCTGAACAGATGGTAATAAAACTCAAAGTAATCATTGGTTGTACACAAAGCGAAATTTGTAAACTGATCGATGCCAGAACACAAATAGCGGTCCGGCCGGCTGGGGGTCCTCCCCGAGAAGATTATGAATAAAGTAGATGCGACTTCCTGCTTTTTGTGTATTTTAACGGGTTGTTAAACATCTGTTTAACATTTGTAAACACTCTGCGAATTCACTGTCCGACTCCACATGTGAAACCTCCAGACGCCTCCTCCTGCCTGTGGCCTCCTGCCCCTGGCCTCCTGCCCCTGGCCTCCTGCCCGTGGCCTCCTGCCTGGTTAGCTCGATGCTCACTCCTACCACTCTTTTTGTGGCGGAGATTTTTTTTTAAGGTAGAGGCGGAAATGCTCCTTGAAGAGGCAGCTGGTATGTGATGTCAAGAAGCTCATAAGTGGCTGTTGTGTTTAAAACGAGTGTTTATGTAATTATTTTCAGTTTACATATCCAGTAGAAGTTTTATTTGTTCATAACTTTATTATCAGTAAGTGAGAGTTAACGGAACGCACCCTGTCAAAATAAGGGCGTTCCCGGATCCTGTTCCGGCAGGACAGTTTTACAGATATTGAGCTGAAGTTCAGTGTGGTAGTAGCCGGGAGTCATCCTTTACACCTACTCTAAGCACTGACTGATCACACAGACCATGACCTGAACAGATACAAGTCCTTCTCATCACAAGATGTTGGATTGAAACCGTGGCATGAATGGTGGCGGGTGAAATGCGTAACTTTGAAGAAGGCTACGCCTCGGTTAAGTTTGAGCACGACCGATGAATTTTAATTAAAAAATTAAAACTAAACTTTTATTTTGTGCAGCAACAAAGGCATGGACCACCTGCACTGCATGAAGATGAAGAACGTGGTGCCTTTGTACGACCTGCTGCTGGAGATGCTGGACGCCCACATCATGCACAGCTCCCGCCTGCCCCGCCGCCCCGCGAAGCCGGACCCCGCGGATCAGACGGAGAGCGCCGCCAGCGGACCCTCAAACACCTGGACTCCCAGCAGCGTTGGAGCGGAAGGTGAAGCTCAGAACTCTGATTAGAACACGGACTTCTTGCTGCTTAAGACTGATGAGGTGCTTTTTAAGACCGGTCCGTAGAGACGGAGCTGGATTCAGCTCCATCATCACTGTGCTCCGTTTCTGTCGAGTCCTCCGAGTTGAAGCTGGAGAGGAGAAACCGACGTGAACCCGCAGTGGAACTGGACCATCAACAGGAGCACCAGCGCTCATCTAAACAGAGGTTTTTACATTTAGTACCGCTTCACGCTTTACTTATATCATTTTATATTTCTGCATAAATGACGACTGAAGTGTTTTTCTTGGCTGCAGCGTTTGTTCAGGAAGGTTCACCGTGGATTAGTTCCATGTTCAGACACGTTGCAGCCGTTTCCTCACGAGTGGAAATTATTTGTGCTACAAAACCATTAAAGATCAGACGCTGGTGGTCAAACTTTAATGTTCCCCCTCCCCCTGATTACAAATCATTTCTCATTTCCAACAAAGTTAAGTCAGGTCCTCTGGATGCTTTTTCTGTTGAGACGTTTCGTCCTTCATCCAAAGGACTTCTTCAGACCGAGGAGCCACATCAAACTCAAGTCTTAAAAGCACCTTCACATAGTGGATCAACCAGTTTGATGGTGCTCAGATGGTTTCTGGAGTCCGCCCTCTCCCCCGCCGACTCGTCCGAGGCAGCCGTGGCCAAAGTGGTTCATGCTCGATAATCTAATCCAGGTAAAACTGGATTATCGAGCATGAACTTTGACGTTTCTTTTGATTTTGCGCAGCCAGACTTGGTTTTGTTTTTAAAACGATCTTCAGACTTTTCGAAGATCTGTCAAATGTTTTCTTCGTACTTTGGAGCTCAGGTGTTCGTTTTCAATCTAATTGACTTAATGAGGTGTTTTTCCTGTAACTGTGTCGTCTTTCTGCAGAAATATAAAACCTTTTAAAGGCCTGTACTTTAGCAAAGCATCATCCAGTCAGCGGCTACGTTTACATGGACGGTGGTGTCGCAGCCTTTCACGTGGTAACTTTTATTATTGAGTAAAACATGAATGAACTACCCTGCACACGCTAACCTCTGGATAAGACGAGTCCCGGCACTGCAGTCCATGTAAGTGTAGCCGGATCCACGCACGGGCTTTGTGTACAGTTTTTATAATCTGCAGGTGTAACTTGTTGGTGCAGGAAATTAACTGTGAATCAGTTTTATTTTAGTTTACTGAAACTTGGACTTCATGCTCAGCATTTCTCCACATGCAGTTGAACAACAAAGACTCACTGCAGTGAATCTTTTTAACGTCTCGTGTTGCAGCAGACCTGGTTGATGTTTTTATTTTTTAAACTTTTTCTTTCTGTTATTCTGTAAGGAAAAAAAACAAAAAAACAACAGAGCACTTATGAGTATGGAGTGAGAGGAGTGCCATAAGTAATGCTGTATTTTCCGGCCTATGAGTCGCACTTATATGCCTGATTTGCATGCCCTACGACTTATTTATGGATTTTTTTCCATATTTATAAACCCGTTTTTGGCTGAGATATGACATTCATTCAATCTGACATTAAAAACATCGAACACTACCATTTTTAGCCACTCGAGGTGTACGGCATGCCGTCGTGTCATGTAATAGGTAAAAGTGGCTATTAATGACACAATCGGCTTGCCATACAAAGCCATCTTCGTCCAGCTCGACTGGAGCAAACGTCAAATCAGCTGCATTTCGCTGCGCCGCCCCCGAGAAATGAATCTGATTTGACCATTAAAGTGCATTTATTAATTAAAAGTTCAACTGAGACACAACTTTACTGTAACTTTGAGCAAACAATTGTTTTTAAGTGTTAATCTTGTTAAGTTCTTGCTAAAGTCCTCCCGTGCACGCTCCTGGGGCCGCCATTTGGCAGCCAATCGATTTTTGACACATTTCCAGGTCGTCAGCGGTGACGCATAATAGATGCGACGTATACGGTGGTGAAACTTATTTATGTTTTTTCATCAAATTATTAGACATTTTTGGACAGATGTGACTTATAGGCCGGAAAATACGGTAAATACACCAGAGTGAAAATTATCAAATTTTTAAATACACTGTAAACATTTATGTCCAAACTCTTCATTTTTAAAGCTGTATCTAAATTAATTCATATACACTGAGATTAAATCAAACAGCACAAGTGAAAGATGCTGCTGGAAATAATTATAAAATCTTTTTTTCCTTGTAGATGCTTCAACATTTCCTTTTTCTGATGGAGATGAACGAAGAACTAAATTTCTTCTTGTAGTTGGAGTCAAACGGCTCGTGTCTCTGGTGATGTCACAGATAAAAACCTTCTCCAGTTAAAAAAAGGAAACAATTCCTCCAAACCCACTGATTTTACCTCAACTCCACATAAATATCTTTACAGATGCAATAAAGATGAACAGTTTTAACTCCTTTCACTTATTAGACCTAAACTAGACATTTGTTTTGATGTAACGGACAGCAGTGTCTTAGCCAAGTTGCCTTAATCTTTAGAAACTAAATGGTACATCAGAAAAAACTTGAATATTTACCGTATTTTTCGGACTATAAGGCGCATTAAGCGAAACAAAACGGAGAAGTCGAACTTTATTCGACTCATAACCAGATAAAATCTGTTCGAGGTCTGTAAGCACAAGCAGAATTAATACAAAACGGATTATAAGGCTCACGGTCGATTTTTGAGAAAAATTAAAGGATTTTAAGTGTTTTATAGTCTGAAAAATACGGTAACTAAAAAGCCCGAGTAGATTTTTCAACATCACTGTTAATAAACTGTGGCAAACCTGGAGTTCAGTTGTAAATTGTGCCTTAAACAAACGTTATCTGGGATCTTGAAGCTGGATGAACGAGTCCTACCTGAAAACTTTCCCTCCGTCGTGAAGTTTCTAGTTTTTATCTTTACAAATACGTCGGTGAATCAGAAGCAGCCGTGTTGGCGGACTAGGTTCCTCGAAAACGGAATATAAAGAATAAAGGTTAGACGTTAAAACGTGCAAAAGTAAAAGAGACGAACAGAAAATTCAACTTGTTAGGAAATGATACTTTAATTAAGTTCTTTTTTATTCTTCTTCTTTATGGCACTCCTTGTATTCCATACTCGCATTAAGTTCAGTTTTTAAAGTCTGTTTAAAATTTGCAACAAAAAAAAAAAAAGAATATGGAGCTTCTCTGCAACGTTCACATTTTGTAACTTGATTATTTCTGTGATTTGACAAACATTTAAAGATCTCTGGTTTTTACCACACACGGCTCTCTGGTCTTGTCTGCTCCTGTTCTCTCGTCGCTGCGTAGAAACAAAATGGCCGACCTTTGCTCGTTTCTGGCGAAAACATTTAATAATAAATGTTTGAGCGTCGATCGTACAAAAGGTTTCCTGTCCTCGTCCTGCAGAGGGTTGAAGATGTTTGATTTGCACCAAAAACTACTGCAGTAAAATAACCGTCGCTCATGGAGGTTATTAAAACTGGAATGATTGAAAACGTATTGATCCATTATTGAATCGTAAAGTTAATGTTTAACCAACGCAACTGTCTTTTAAAAAAATGTAAAACTTTCACTGATTACTCAAGTTTAGAGCCAAAAGTTGCTTGTTTTAACTCTGACTACAGACTTTGAAGAATAATTTTGAATTCTAAATCGTTCGAAGTGTAAATATTAAAAAATAAAACCTTTGGTGGAGAATCTTAAAACTGATCCTTCCCACATGTACAGATTTAATAAATCCAGTTTAAAATATTTAAAAATATATTCCAGGAAACGCCAAAGTTCAGGTTCAATAATCCAACAATGTTCAGTCAGCTCATCTGGACGGGTTTTTTTGTTCTGAAACGTTTCACCTTCTATCCAGAAGGCTTCATCAGTCAAGGAAACAACTGATTCTTCCCCCAAACAGCTCACTCCAAAGTGGAACAAACCAGTTATGTTGGTGCTAAGATGGTGTCTTTGGCACGTCCCCTCCTCTTCCTTCCTTTTTTGTTTTTTAGCATTCTCCATAGTGGAACAAACCAGTCTGCTGGTGCTAAGATGGCCTCTGGGGCCCGCCCTTTCCCCCATCAACTCCTCTTCATGTTCCCTATTCCAGGCAGCTGAATCCTCAAATGGCCATCTTGTTATCGTGGAGCAGCACCTGAGCCAAGGAGGGACTTTCCCCTGGTAGGGGTCCCAAGACTGACTGGATGGTCCCAAACAAGGAGGAGCTCAGTGCCCCTTGCCTGGACGTGGGTTAGCGGGGCCCCACCCTGCAGCCAGGCCTGGGGTAGGAGCTCCTCGGCAGGCACCTGGTGACTGCAACACGGGTTTGCCTTCTTGTGGGCTTACCACCTGCAGGAGGGGCCACACGAGTTGGGTGCAGCTGAAGGCGGGGGCCTAGGTGCTTGGACCCTGGTTTACCAAAGCCGTCTCTCTGGAAACTATCAAGAACTTGGTCTTTCACTGAGGGAACGATTAGTCGAGACCAACAGTAACTCTGAAATCTGTAGTTACGTCTTTATTTGAAGCCCTGGAGACAAAAGTTCAACGTGATGGTTTTAATTTGTGCAGCAGAGACAGGTTCAATAAAATTCTCCAGTGGTTTGATTTTCAGTCGAGAACAGTAGAGAAAAAATAAAAACAATCCAGGTGGGACAATTTACTGCTAAAAATACATCATTCTTCAGTATAAATAATTATTACATGTGGACATAAACTCTAGTGTTTTTAACAAACTGTGGAAACATTAACAAATCTCAAATGGATTTCAACGTAGGTCTTTTAAATTTTTTTCTACATGTTTAAGTCCAACTAGGAAGTTTCAGGATGAAGACAAACCTTCATGGAGCTCCTTGATGCTCATTTTGATAAAAAAATCTTCGCCTCTTCATCGATCGTTCTGATTGTACGCTGCAGCAGCTGGACGGTGTGACCCCGTTATTTCATGATCATTCTAACAAGGTTGAGTCAGGTCCTCTGTTGAAAGAAGTCTTGAATAAAAGACCTTCAGTCTCAAATTTTCTTTTTGGATAAAAGACTGTCTGAAGAAGTCTTTTGTCCAGAAAACTTCACACTGAAGAAGTCTTTCCAATGTTCTTTGTCATTCTCATCACATGTGGTACATGAGTTGGAATGAAACTATGTACTCAAGGTCCCAGTTATATCTTTGCTATTTTGGGGTGTAACTGGGACCTTCACCATTTGGATAAAATACTTTTTCAGACTGAAGAAGTCTCTTTGATAAAAAGACTTGTTCAGTCTCAAGAAGTCTCT